TTTTCTGGCCACTCTTCCGTAAAGCCCAGCTCTGTGGAGTGTACGGCTTAAAGGGGTCCTATGGACAGATACTCCAATCTCCGCTGTGGAGCTTTGCAGCTCCTTCAGCGTTATCTTTGGTCTCTTTGTTGCCTCTCTGATTAATGACCTCCTTGCCTGGTCCATGAGTTTTGGTGGGCGGCCCTCTCTTGGCAGGTTTGTTGTGGTGCCATATTCTTTAAATGTTTTAATAATGGATTTAATGGTGCTCCGTGGGATGTTCAAAGTTTCAGATTTTTTCTTATAACCCAACCCTGATCTGTACTTCTCCACAACTTTGTCCCTGACCTGTTTGGAGAGCTCCTTGGTCTTCATGGTTCCGCTTGCTTGGTGGTGCCCCTTGCTTAGTGGTGTTGCAGACTCTGGGGCCTTTCAGAACAGGTGTATATATACTGAGATCATGTGACAGATCATGTGATACTTAGATTGCACACAGGTGGACTTTATCTAACTAATTATGTGACTTCTGAAGGTAATTGGTTGCACCAGATCTTATTTAGGGGCTTCATAGCAAAGGAGGTGAATACATATGCACGCACCACTTTTCCATTATTTATTTTTTTGAATTTTCACTTCACCAATTTGGACTATTTTGTGTATGTCCATTACATGAAATCCAAATAAAAATCAATTTAAATTACAGGTTGTAATGCAACAAAATAGGAAAAACGCCAAGGGGGATGAATACTATTGCAAAGCACTGAAAGGGCTCCCGAGTGGCGCAGCGGTCTAAGGCACTGCATCTCAGTGCTTGAGGCGTCACTATAGACCCCCTGGTTCGATTCCAGGCTGTATCACAACCGGCCGTGATTGGGAGTCCCATAGGGCGGCGCACAATTGGCCCAGCGCCATCCGGGTTTGGCCGGTGTAGGCCGTCATTGTAAATAAGAATTTGTTCTTAACTGACTTGCCTAGTTAAATAAAGGTTAAAAAAAAATATATATATATATATATATATATAAAAATACTGCACTCCCTGGCCTGGTTTCACATTCACCACAGTTGCTGGAACCATACTGGAAAATACAAAAAAATCTGAGCCAGCATGGTACAGTTTGGGTGAGCACGATAGTGTGAAAATGGTTAGCCTATAACTGAGCAGACACTATCTTCGTATCCATCTTCGGTTCATCCTCTCTACAGCAACAGACAGACACAACCTCCGCCTCCTGCGTCTGACAAAAACTCGGCAAGGGACGCATTCTTGACTGTTGACTCACTAGATACGTTTTTTATTGTGTTAATCCTCTGCCGCCAGCCCGGTAATCTCACCCGGACAGCGAGTGTGTTAATAGACCATGAACCTCGCCTGGGAGCCTTGCCATGCACGCCCCTCAAGGTCACGTATATATTACACTAAACTCCCCTATAAATCTGCCCCAGTGACCTCTCACTGACCCTGAGCTTGCTGCTATGCTGCGCTGCGGTTGGCTGAGGTCAGATCAGACAGACAGGTAAGTATTAAGCACATGGCCCAACCAAACACAGACCCACCACCCAACTCTAAAGCAGCCTCCTAGGACGCAGCGCAGTGGGACCAGAACCGGGATATGTAGTGATTATGGGATTACGACAATGTGGTATGATTCATATGGTGTTGAATTGATCACATGAATAAGATTAGGGATGAGCCAACATAACCAGACAACCACCAACTTAGCCATAAAGCAGTTCATCGTGGATGACATGCGTTAGGGTGGGCTACGTATTTGGGTTATGTGTGATATGTGGGCCTGTGTTGTGATGAAGCTTTAATTTAGGATGCGAGAGAATAGGACTTGGACTCTGGCTCTCTTCCAGCAGCTAGTGCTGATGTCACTTGGCTGGAGATGCTGTTCTGTTGAGCACAGTGAAGACCAGTGTGTGCACCTACAAATCTTGATTACAGTCGATAGGGCTCCGCTCAGGGCCAATCTAAACGAATGAAACTGGCGGGCTGTTTTCTCAAAGACATAGGTAGCTTTCAACACGTTTCCGCATGCAGTCCCGGGAGCCATTTGACAACTTCTAAAAGTAAACGTATTTTCCTCTATTACTCAACGAAACAGATTTGGCAAGGAGTGCTTTTTTTTTTTTTGTCAAGGATAATTTTTGGAAGGACAGATAAGGCCGTAGGCCCCCAGTAACCTTATGTAATAAATAAAGGGTAATTATAGCCTAATCATTCATCATACTGATAAAACAGTTTTTGAACGTAATCAAAATTGTTGGATGATTTAAGAAGTTAATACTCTAAGATCATGGGCCAGGGGGACAGGGGGGACATGTCCCCCCAAATGTTAGAAGTGGGTAAAACATTTTTTAAAGGCATCCACTGCTGGAAAGTGTGTCACTTCCCCTGCCCCCACTGACTGCTTTGTTCTCACTTTCCAACCTAGTCTCACAGCATTTTGTATTATTCTGTAAGTAAATCAGTACTTCCATTTAGTATGACATGTTATGTTTCGTATGGTATGTATTCATTTGTGGATGTCCATCATCCATTTCGTATGATATGTTACAAATTACAATTTGTATTACAGTGAGGGAAAAAAAAGTATTTGATCCCCTCCTGAGATGTGTGCAAACCTGGGGGCCAACTACAAGAAACGTCTGACCTCTGTGATTGCCAACAAGGGTTTTGCCACCAAGTACTAAGTCATGTTTTGCAGAGGGGTCAAATACTTATTTCCCTCAAATCAATTTATAACATTTTTGACATTTGTTTTTCTGGATTTTTTTGTTGTTATTCTGTCTCTCACTGTTCAAATAAACCTACCATTAAAATTATAGACGGATCATTTCTTTGTCAGTGGGCAAACGTACAAAATCAGCAGGGGATCAAATACTTTTTTCCCTCACTGTATATGTTACTAATTAGCAAAACGTACAATATGTTACACATTTTCTACAATGTATGATATGTTATGAATTCTAGCTAGGTGGCTAAGTCGCTAACATCACCTAGGCTAGGGGTTAGGGTTAGGGGTTAGGTTAAGGCTAGGGTTAAGTTTAGGAGTTAGGTTAAAGTGTTAGGGGAAGGGTTAGCTAAAAGAGTTAAGGTTAGGGGAAGGGTTAGCTAACATGCTAAGTAGTTGCAAAGTAGCTAAAAAGTTGTAAGTAGTTGAAAAGTTGCTAAAATGCTAAAGTTGTCCGTGATGAGATTCGAACTTGCAACCTTTGGATTGCTAGACATTCGCATTATACACCCACCCACCCTCCCTACTTTCATTTTTGCCTTATGTAACCATATGTCTTATGTAACCATAGAAAAGGTAACATGTCATACTAATTGTTGTATTGCAGATTTACGTACAGAATATTACAAAATGCTCTGAGACCTGGTTGCACTCTTGGTTGTTACAAGCAGTGTGGCAGTGTGTGAGTGAGAAAAAGCACTGTGCAGCACCAACATCATTACTCACCGCACAAGGGAAAGTAATTGTTGTTGGCAACAACAAAGTAAGTTTAAGTAAAAAGTGTATGAATGTGAATAAACTTTGATATGTTAGAATGTTAGAACGTGAGCAACGATAAGCTTTCTCCTGGCTTGTAGCTAGTTAGCTTTACAACTACAATTTATTAATATTTAGTTGTGTCAGGTTTTATCTAACTAGCTAACGCGCGGTAGTTCTGTTTGTGTGAAAAACTAATAGTGAATGTTTTGAAGCAAAGAATACTTGATAGCTACAGAATTACTTGCTCAATCACTATCTTAGTCTTCAGCATAGGGTTAGCAATGGATGTGCCACCAATCAAAAAGAGAAAAACCACTCCTGGTAAACTAGCTGGCAAATTTGAGTGCTTTCAGCTTAGATGTCTTTAACTTCATCACAGTGATTATGGGTCATGAAGGTGTGTTCCATGTGTTCAGACTTAATTTGGTGCTATCATGACCATGACAGGAGACTGACAGCCATGAACAGACAGACATACAGAGAGGAAGAGAGGCCACAAAACAACAGGCAAGAGAGTGAGAAGTGCCTCTCCAAGCCCATAGAGTTCATAGAGTGATGATCTGTCATAGTGTGAATCAATCTGAATTATATGATTTCTCTCTGATGAAATGACAGCAGCTTAAGTCTAGAGGGTGTATTGAATGTGTTAACTTCATGAAGGAGAGAGGCAGCCATGATGATATTTCATTATTGCATTTATTTCAGTTTGACCTTTCATGCATCATTTTTTATTTATTATACTGAACAAATATATAAACGTAGCACGCAGCAATTTCAACGATTTTGCTGAGTTACAGTTTGTATAAGGAAATCAGTCAATTTAAATAAATTCATTAGGCCCAAATCTATGGATATCTCATGACTTGGCAGGGGCGCACAGCCATGGGTGGGCCTGGGAGGGCATAGGCCCACCCACTTGGGAGCCAGGCCCATCCACTGGGGAGCCAGGCCCACCCACTGGGGAGCCAGGCCCAGCCAATCAGAATGAGTTTTTCCCCACAAAAGGGCTTTATTACAGACAGAAATACTCCTCCGTTTCATCAGCTATCAGGGTGGCTGGTCTCAGACGATCCCGCAGGTAAAGAAGCCAGATGTGGAGGTCCTGAGCTGGCGTGGTTACACGTGGTCTGCGGGTGTGAGGCCGGTTTGACGTTCTGCCAAATTCTCAAAAACGATGTTGGAGACGGCTTATGGTAGAGAATTGAACATTCAATTCTCTGGCAGTAACTCTGGTGGATATTCCCGCAGTCAGCATGCCAATTGGATGCTCCCTCAAAACTTCAGACATCTGTGGCATTGTGTTGTGTGACAAAACTGCACATTTTAGAGTGGCCTTTTATTGTCCCCAGCACAAGCTGCACCTGTGTAATGATCATGCTGTTTAATCAGCTTCTTGATATGCCACACCTGTCAGGTGGATGGATTACATTGGCAATGGAGAAATGCTCACTAACAGGGATGTAAACAAATTTGTGCACAAAATATGAGAGAAATAAGCTCTTTGTGCATATGGTACATTTCTGGGATCTTTTATTTCAGCTCGTGAAACATGGGACCAACACTTTACATGTTGCATTTATATTTTTATTCAGTATAAAACAGTTTTTAACTGTGTATGTTGCTTGTTATTATTACAGTAAAAGAACTGTATAATAAGTGGAAAATACTACGTAAAGTAAGTATGTTGAGCAGCAGTAGTAACAACCTGACATAGGGGAAGTGAGAAAATCCTAGGAAATGAATCATACAGTAGCAAAGAAAGAGTACAAAATGGTTGTTTAATTGAATATATCCACATTAACAGTCAGACTGGTATTCAGTACAGTATGAATGGCCATGGCCCTAAGACTGATTGGACTGTACCAGAGGGCCCCCTTAGCCTTGTAAATTTGCCCATTTGTAAGATAAGATTTGTCTGTATCCTTTTCTCAAAAGTCACTAGGAATTAGCATTTAAAACCTGTTTTTCAGGTTGTCAGAGTCACTCCTACGCACCTGTCTATGATAGACTCATTTCTTTGAATTGAAGGGCAACAAAATGACATATTCAAAACATTTAGGTCTTCCATCCTGAACTTTGTTTCCCCCGAGACAATTTTAGAGTGATCATGCTGTCACTAAATCGATGCCCATTAGATATCACTATGATAGGAGGAGAATGCAGACAGTGACACGCTGGTTATTTTAGAAGACTGATGTAAGCAAGGCAAGCGCTTCCCGTTCCCTGTTCACTGTATACTATATGAGATTTGGCAGGACATTTCCACAAGGACATAGTTGGACTGCCCTTTAAAAAGATTTAGAGACCAATAAAAGCTTTTTCCAAAGTGATTCATATCACTAATCATTTTACAATAATGCTCTGTGTAAAGAAAACAGTCTGTATAATATCCCCTGGTTTACACAGACTATGAAATAGATAAATAATTCCAATGTTTGGCTTGGGGAAGAGTAATGTTATAATTGGAGGACCTACACCACGGATTCGTTGAGTGCTGAGTTCCTCTGGCACTGACGTTAGAGGAAAAAAATGCAATCTGTAATCATTTAATGTATTACTCAAGAACAGTGAGTAGTAGATTCAGTGAATATCACCTTGTGTATCAGTGACAATGACAGTGTCACATGGTCAGCAATATGAGGATGGATGAGATCTGATGTGAATGACAGAAGGATCAACAAGGTTTAATATAGAACAAGTGTGGTATTTTAGGGTCCTCCCAAGGTGACCACTCCAACTAACACTACAGTACAACTCGGCCCACGACTCTCTACCGTTCTGAGAACATTGCATTAAAATCATATAAATTACCATTTACATTTGAAAATGCAGATATTTTTAACGTCAACTGAAATCTCATTAATCTTACAAACTTTTTTAACAAGTAGTTATGATCATCACACTTCACTGCTTTTGTTCAATCTTGGGTACCATGTTGTTCAATGTTTGTACCATTTGTTCGGTCTCGATTGGCCTTATTCCACTTGCCCTATAGGCCTACGTGCATTTCTGAATGATGATTTGAATGTTAAATTCTGGTTCTCAGCTCCTCTACGTTGTGTAACATCTTGGCCTTGTTTCACGAAGTACTTCATTTCTCACAGATCAGTCAGAGCCCCACGTAGCCTACAACACAACCCTGAGAGTGAAATGACTATCGTGTTGCATACAGATGCAGAATGAAAGTGCCCCATAGTGAGAATGCTAACTTGGGAGATATAGCAGCTAGCACCTTCAGTAATTGGAAACCAGTGATAAATAATAAGCAAGAGATGACAGCTACCGTCCATCATACTGTATACATTTAGGAACACGTACAATAATAGATTGATAGCGCATACTGTAAGGGTACCTGTCACACTGAAGGGAGAGGAGACATACTATCCATCTCGGTCGACGACAATGTTTGTTTCACTTAACTCATATAACAGAAACATTTGTTTAAATGAATTTCTTTGCTCAATATTGGGCTACATTAGTCTCCGTAGTGCAGCTCTCTAGCCCATGGTAACAGTTGGTTGTTAGAGTTGTAGCAACTTTCTGTTGTACATCCATTCCAATGCATTTGACCAGGAGGGTGAGGCATGATGTCCTTTTTCACACTCCTAACTACTGAATACAAGTCAGTCTTTCCATGTCCAGTATCTCAAGCAGAGTACATTTCAGTTCTTTATCACTTTCCATTGTAACACCAATGAAACACTGAGCAAAGTGGTCACAGGTTTAGAAAGAGAACATAGTCTTAAACCAAGCAAAATCCAACAACACATACACCACCCAACAATCCTAACTCAATCTCTGGTGTGCTCACAGTATAATGTCCAATGCTGCATTTCGACAACAGATAATGTGTAAATTAATTTCTGTAGAAAAAAGTGTTCTCAGCACACAATAGTATTTCCCCAGATCAACACGATCAAACATATACGTAAATAGGAACTACCCCCTCTCCCGGCCCAACCACCCTCTTAGACTGCCTTTCTACAGAACAGTACCATACAGTACTGCACCATCCAAACCAAATTGGGATATGGCCCCTTCGGAAAAGTTCTTTAGGATGTCACTTTAGAAGGGGTTGTCAAATGAGTATCATACCAGAGGTAATGGGAGGTCAGAAATGAGTTGGGGGTAGGGACTACATATCCCACAATGCAGTTGGCCACTGCTACATCCTTTGAAAGGCCACCGGGTCAGGTTAGGTCCAACCAATCGGGTCGCTTGTGTGGCTTGCAGGTGTGAACGTCCACCGTGTCTTCGCAGTCCTTGCACTCCACGGCGCAACACCACTTGAACTTGCACTCGCACTTGGTGACTCGCTTGACGCGCATTGTGTCGTAGCCCCGTCCGCAACACATGACCTCGCAGCCGTCCGTGCCTCTGGAAGACTTGTTGCAGACTCTCCCTGCCGTGCCCAGGGAGCCTGTGGAGAGAGCACAAGACAGACCAGCTGGCCCGTGAGTGAAGGGGTGTGAGAATAGGTGTGAGTGGAGGTATTTCCTTTGAGTATTTGGGAGTGGAGCTTACTAGTGACCACAGAAGGATTAAAAAAATGACCCTGTTGTATCCTTAGGGTGTGAACTCCAATACAATAGAGATGATTGCTTCATCTTGTAGTAGGCTAGGGGCGTAGCATAGCTCCTCTTCTTAACAGCAGTTTACTAGGTGTCAACCTTTAACCATAGGTCTAACAGAGATGGGGATGATGCCAGTAACACACAATCCATCCAAAGTATCATAACCAGAGCCTGTTAGCTGTTCTAGAGCTCTATGCACGCTCTGCTGAAGTGATAGGACATGAGGGGCGTGAGAGTCAGAGATTACCAAGGCAGAGAAAACACAGTTGGAATTAGAGAGAAGTTAAAGGTCAAATAATTGAACTCTAAGCTATGAAGGTATGCAGGCTTTCGGCAGATGAGTCTGGGATTCTCATAGCAGTATTTGATGGGTAGGCCGCTGTATTATCTACCGTCTGGGTAATACTCTTCACTCAGAGCAACTAGGTTTCTGATGCCAATATTTTCCCCAAGTTTGGTGATAAGTACTTAAATAACGTCCCATACATTTTTAAACTATGTATGACTAAATGTGATATTATGTTGAATCATATACTGAAATTTGATTTCTCTTCACATTCATTTACACTTAGCCATTGCTAAAAACCTTTTTTTTTTCTCTGCCAGGTCATGTGGTGAGGAAAAACTCCTAGCCCTACCTAACGCCTATAATTGCATGAGTTGACCCACCTGCTGCTCTGTCCATGAGGCAGTAGTCAGGGGAGTTTTCTACATATACCAGCTCGTTCTTGGTGGTTCCCTTGAAGTCCTTGTCAGCCACCATGAACCCTGTGCCATCCTGGTTCATGGTCACCTCGATGGCCGTGTTGTACTTCTTCCGGAGGTAGTCCCCGGTCCTCCGGAAATCCGACATGGCCAGCCAGCAGGTTCTGAGGGCGCAGGAGCCGCTGACGCCATGACACTTGCACTCCAGTTTCATAAAGCGCTTCACTGCCTGAAATTGAGAAGGTTGGGCAATTTCATTGGAGGTTGAGACAAAGCCTCACCTGTGGCCAACCTAGTACACTCACTATTCATGTCTAGAGTATTTATATAAAAATGATGTTCAACAGAGTGGCTTGAATTGTACTAGAAATGTTTGTTCCACTGTAGTAACAATGTTGTTACACTGTAGTTGAAGCATGCGCTAGTGCCAGTTTAAATGGACTGCCTGGCAGACAGTTCCCTGTGTGTATCAAAAAAGCAAAATGCCACCTTAACCCCAAAGCCATTGCTCACCATTCGCCCACAGCGGTTGTTGTGTAGATTCATCATCGCCCGAGCGTCTTTCACCATCCTTTCCCTGGCATCGATGAAGGCCTTGGCGAACTTGATGCCATAGTTGATGTTGTCGCTGCAGCCGCCCCAGTCAAAGTCGCCCCTGTCGTCTCTAGCTCGGCCTCGCTTGTGGGCGTCGCAGCTGCAGATCTTGAGCTCCCCCTGGCTGCAGGCCCTGGTAATTGCATAGACCACACCCGCTGAGGAGATGGCGTACACAAACGCTGCCTCCCGGCTACCTGGGGTGACATGATGGAGGAGATTATGTGTAAGAAGATGTCATTGGGCGATTCCAGGCCAGTGGGAGCTGAAACTATTTTTGGTATCTCAGATTGTTCTAGCAATTCTCACATAGGAACTTCATTGGGAGGAAGGGTGTTTAACATAGTTTTTTACCTTTGTATAACAAAAATGTGGAGAAAATCATGATGAAATGTGCCATTTTAGACATTTTTAGACCTATACATGCCTCCTGTAAGACCCTATGATCTGTGAACTGTACATGATGCAGACAACATCTTTGTGTCATTATAACCCTTTTAGTATTCTCTGAAATATGGACTATGTCTAGATTCTGAAATACCCTTTTTGATTTTGCTTATTTTTAGACATATTGTTTGTAACAATATACTCTTCAAACACGTGGCTGGAGGTTAGTTTTATATCTAAACAAAGTCAGTCTCATAGAGACGGTTACACTATACCAGCAAATTTGTTTTGTTGTAGTAACCATGTCGTTACACAGTAGTTACGGTACATCAGTCTAGAGCAGATTTCATGCTATGAACACTAACATATGCCCGACTGAAAGCTTTGGACTTGCATAGTCCAAAGACATTGCACAGAAACTATTTATGTGTGCTGTGTCCCATGCTATCTGCATTTAAACACTCCTTGGAACTTGGAACACAGACACTGTTTATTTACATTTATATAGAAGGGAATACAGAGCACAAACAGATTTGAATCAAATAGGCATGGTTGTCTCTGTACAATGTTCATGTACAATCAGTCCATGTACCGCAGGCCTATGGTGGATGGCCAGAACAAAGAAACGTGGATGCTAGCATCACATTTAAGCCGCCTCTCCTTTCACTCTTTAATTTGCACAGATGGCAGCTTTCTCAGTCACTAGGTATGTTTTCATTTGAGAGGAGAGCAGATTCAGGGTTATTTGGTCTGCTTTCCCCACCCACCTCTAATTTTCATTCCTCCTCACGCAATGAACCAGAACACAGGCAATATGTCAGGGAGTACGGCTTTGTCTGCCTGCCAGAAACATCTACCCAAATATTTACATCTCCTATTTCTGTTTAGACGTCACCCTTGCAGATCACTCTATCTGCTACTTGTTTTCGGAGAATATCCACTTTCTCCATTCCTAGAGAAGGTGAAACTAGATACATTTACTTGCACACATTCTCTCTTTAGGTACTGTACAACCGGCAACGGCAACTGGTACGTTCTCCTGTTACCTTATTGGAGAGGGGCAAACAAAGGAGACATATATGGAAGTGAACTGTTGTATTAAGTGTTGAGCTGAGATATGAAAGTAACATACATAGCTATACCCTTAAGGCTTGAATATCTGTAAGTCTAAAAGGCAAGGAAGCGGTCCCTCACAGTATTCTGTAATTGCCTACAACCACCAATTTGAAAACTTGTATGCGTTGAATCAGATTAATGTAGTGAATCTTACATCCAAGATGCAAATGATTGAATACTGAACTCACACAGAAAGATAAACACAGAAACACACACAAACAGACTTACTGCGCAGCATGACCCTGCCAAAGACAGTGTGGTCTCGGTCCAGCGTGCTGCAGTTCCAGCGATGGTGACGGAACTGGTGCTGGCACTCACGGATCCACTCCTTGGCACCCTCCCCAATAGACTGCATGAGATCCGGGTGGCGCTGGCACAGCTGACGCTGCTTGTTCACCAGGCCTGGAATGTTGTCACAGATCACCCGTGCACCCAGGGCTCCAATGTACCTGCAGATCAGATAGACAGGTGCACTGTCAGTGGTAGGCCAGTAAAATGACCAGGGACTATTGTTGTTCTTTAACTTTTTTATTTTTTTATGGACAAGATACACGAACATCTCATTCCAAAATCATGGGCATTAATATGGAGTTGGTCCCCCCTTTGCTGCTATAACAACCTCCACTCTTCTGGGAAGGCTTTCCACTACATGAGGGAACATTTCTGTGGGGACTTGCTTCCATTCAGCCACAAGAGCATTAGTGAGGTCGGGCACTGATGTTGGGCGATTAGGCCTGGCTCGCAGTCGGCGTTCCAATTCATCCCAAAGGTGTTCGATGGGGTTGAGGTCAGGGCTCTGTGTAGGCTAGTGAAGCTCTTCCACACCGATCTCGACAAACAATTTCTGTATGGACCTCTCTTTGTGCATGGGGGCATTGTCATGCTGAAACAGGAAAGGGCCTTCCCCAAACTGTTGCCACAAAGTTGGAAGCACAGAATCATCTAGAATGTCTTTGTATGCTGTAGCGTTAAGATTTCCCTTCACTGGAACTAAGGGGCCTAGCCCGAACCATAAAAAACAGCCCCAGACCATTATTCCTCCACCAAACTTTACAATTGCACTATGCATTGGGGCAGGTAGCGTTCTCCTGGCATCCGTCAAACCCATATTTGTCCGTCGGATTGCCAGATGGTGAAGCGTGATTCATCACTCCAGAGAACGCGTTTTCCACTGCTCCAGAGTCCAATGGCGGCGAGCTTTACACCACTCCAGCCGACGCTTGGCATTGCGCATGGTGATGTTAGGCTTGTGTGCGGCTGCTCACCCATGGAAACCCATTTAATTAAGCTCCAAACAAACAGTTATTGTGCTGAATTTGCTTCCAGAGGCAGTTTGGAACTAGATAGTGAGTGTGAGTAAGGACAGATTATGTTTACGCGTTACACGCTTCAGCACTCAGTGGTCCCATTCTGTGTGCTTGTGTGGCCTACCACTTCTCGGCTGAGCCGTTGTTGCTCCTAGACGTTTCCACTTCACAATAACAGCACTTACAGTTGACCGGGGCAGCTCTAGCACGGCAGAAATTTGACAAACTGACTTGTTGGAAAGGTGGCATCCTATGACGGTTCCAAGTCACTGAGCTCTTCAGTAAGGCCATTATATTGCCAGTGTTTGTCTATGGAGATTGCATGGTTGTGTGTTCGATTTTATACACCTGTCAGCAATGGGTGTAGCTGAAATAGACGAATACCCACCAAGGGGTGTCCACATACTTTTGTATATCTAGTGTAGATTTTTAAAGTTAGGTCGAGTAAGATGGTGACATGTTATATTCTTCAAGAATCCATGGGTATTCATCATTCATTGAATTGGCGATTGAACAGCAGGAATTCTTACAAAGTATGCATTTAACAATTCTGTCCCGCTTCATTGTCAACCCCATGCAGTTATAGATACCATAAATGGTACATCACAGGACAGTGTTTTGAAATGTGAGACCGTCAGAAGCCCTTTCACAGATAGGAAAGAGTCCACACAGTTAACTAGGAGTGACCCCTGAGACTAGAACAGAAACACCAAGTGCAGTGCAGCAGACATACAGTATGACATGGTCTCCTGTAAGCTGGCACGCTCCTCTAACTCTACCTCTCCCTGTGACGACCGGACATCATTACTGCCAGGCTTAATCACAGCTACATTATGTGTCGTGCCACTGAGACAGAAACAGAAAAGTGTTTCCACTCCTGTTATGGCTGTCCCTGTCCCTGTCCCTTTCCCCCAATGATCTGCCTTCCTTCCCTGCTGCCTGAGTCTTAGCAATAAAGCAGAGCAGAGGCACACAGTGTTTACTCTCTCCATAGAGAGAGTAGAGAACTGAGCCAAAAGCCCTGACTGTCTCTACGCCTCATACTTAGTTTGGAGAGAGGACAATCAGTCCAGAACACCAGAAAACACGCTGCTGCTTATCTGAATAATCGCAATCATGATGGAAATAGCCCCTGGACTATATAAATCATAATTATATAAATATGTAGACCCTTGGAGAGAGCTACCATGTCTCCCGGCTCTGCCTCACTTCACTGTTTAATTGCACTGCCTTATTTGTATGATAAATAGTTTGTGAGACAGAGAAGCTTTTTCAACAAAACATCAGGGATATTTAATGAAAATATCCATTCATAAAAAACAAGTTTTTATGTATGTGGTATTATCATGGTTTGGAAGAGCATACGGTAGTTCAACTATAAGAACACAACTATTTATACTTTTTTTATTTTGTCACTAGCTGAAAGCTGGTTGACCATGTTTTGTGCAGTAAGATTGGAGTATTGTGACATAAGAGCAGTGTTTCACGCGGGGGTGGTAGGCACTTCCTTTATTCACCCTGGGTTCTTACCCTCAAGAGAAATCATCAAGGAACACTTTTTCATGCACAACTGCCTGCACCTGCCACTTCTAATATGCAAGATTGATAGTGGAAAGTCCCTGAGTCCATTAATCTTCCTGAACACCAGACAGTGTGCTGCTGTAGGTTGATCTCACTTTATAGACTATTGGTGTTATAAAACTCCAATCCAGACACATTCCCCCCTGTGGCTGTTGGAATTGGAGTCTGGCAGCAATTTCTTCACAAGTACCAGCAGGGTATAGGTCTGACTCTAAGGTGTGATGGAGGTATTGACTACAAAGGGTTTATTGAGTTAAACTATTCAAATCTTGAATTTGTTTGCCACATAACTGATATAGCCCATCATTTAGTGTCAGTTATTTCCCCATCTCCTGCATTCCTAGGAGAATTCAAATCTCTCAATACATAATTGGCAATCTCAGGCTTGGAATAAATATAGACATGAACTCAGATGTAAGTGAAAAGCAAATGTAGCTACCTAGAATATACTCTTGCAACAGGACAAACTATTATTACCGAATGTTTTATAGCAGGCCTAAACTATTTCACTAAAACCTTCATTGAAATCCAAACCTGCTTTACATTTGATCTTGATTTTGCTCAAAACGTTTTGCATATTTAATGATGAGCTTATAATTTTTGCTTTATTTATTACGTTCATATAATTTAGTAATGTTATAATTAAGCAATAAGGCCCGAGGGTGTGTGGTATTTGGCCAATATACCACGACTAAGGGCTGTTCTTATGCACTACACAACGTGGAGTGCCTGGATACAGCCCTTAGCCATGGTATATTGGCCATATACCACAAACCCCCAAGGTGCCTTATTGCTATTATAAACAGGTTACCAATGTAATTAGGAGAGGACAAATACATGTTTTGTCATACCGGTAGTATATGGTCTGATATATCAGGTCTTTCAGCCAATCAGCATTCAGGGCTCAAACCACCCAGTTTATAATTGTATATTTAATCCTTCCATTATAGCATCTATGCACTAAGCCATATGATTTCTCCTAACTTATATTATCGACTCCTAAATAACCAACATAAATAGGCCTAACTTTCGCAAGGTCTTGGAACGTCTTATAATTAGCTAATTAAGACAACTGGTCATCCAAAACCACTGGAAACTCAGATCTAATCTTGGATATCAATGATTTAAATTATAGATGTAATCTTGGATATAAATTATTATTATTTCAGCAGCATCAAGTGCACATGAAAGAAACACTCACCACCAGGAAGAATCCACTCTAGGTGTGAAGATGAGAAGCAGCAGAATATAGGAGAAGTATATCCTTGAGGTGGAGTTGGAGGGGTGTCGGGATATTATCCCATTTCGAGACCCCGTCTTGGTCCTGGAATATCCTCGGGGTTTGAAGAAACAAAACATTTCTAATTTCATGTACAGAAGGCATACAATATATAATAAAGAATAAAAGTCCTTGGCGATGGTTTGCTTATCATCATTGGGGGAAACCTATCTAAAGAAGTTGAAACATTCTATCCATCCAGTTTCAAAAGGCTTATTTGATGTATTGTCAGTTCATTGACGCCTTGAAAATATGTTTTCCAAGTGTTTATCTCTTATTTATTCGAGTCAGTGCTTATCAAAAGTCGGTCTAGGAAACGTAAATCGAATGAAGACCCATCTTCTGAGAAACTGTCCCAAATGTCCAAACAGATGTTCTGTTGCCAACGACAACTCTTTCCTCTGCTGTTGCGTGTTCTTTTGTAACCTAGGCTATTTGTTAGACATTCGACGTGAATAGCAGGTGAAGCTGAAAAAGTTGCCAACCCAAACACAGGTATCCCAGACGCTGAAAAATGATGACAACCATTTCTTGTCCCTGGAAGGTAAAGTCAGTCACTCATCTGTCCGAGGATGAGACAGATAGCTACGCCGCGCTCCTCTTCTCAGTCGGGACTGAAGATGCGCCGCAGGAAAAAACACTGCACCAGCATGTCAGCTGTCCATGCCCCCTTTTGTTAGACAATTACAAACACCGGTATGTGCACGGTGAGGTGAGGGACTTCGGTATATTTAGATGTCGGCAAGTAAAAGTTATCTAGCCTACATAGCGGTTTAAATATTGGTGATCCCGATATTGGAAAGAGTTTGACACCCTCATTGACTGATGACAAACCGTCTCGATGCGCACTACGAGGAAAATTACCCAAATAGGTTTTTCATCTCAATTACCCCCCCCCCCCCCCCCCCCCCCCCCCCCCCCCCCCCCCAAAAAAAAATTAATAATAATAAAAGGTTAACGGAGTCATATGGAACTAAAATAATTAAAGAATCAAACTATTTCTTATGCGAATAGGCAAGAATTTTCCCTATTGTCCCTTTACACGCACTATAATAGTTTATTAATAAAAGTGCTACAGTATGATGTGGCTCCAATCAAATTAAAACTGCAGACATTAGTTGATAGATGACAGTGGTGATATTCTAGTTTCGTGTTGTTTGGTGTTGGTGTCATTTTCATCCAATTGCCCTTTATTTCCTTTGTCCACCATTTCCCTCATGAAACACAGCCATCAATGTGTATTATCTAAATACATGTAAGAAACAGCCCAAAAGTGTAATATATTTCACTGCTTACATGCAAATGATGGTGTTGTGTTAAGCCCATAAAAACACCATTTACTATGAGGACCACACAGCTGGGACCACACAATCTGTAGTTTATTTTAGGAGATGACATTGCACATTGGCAGGCTGCTTAGGCCTATCAGATGTATCTGTGAAATTACCAATTAAACAGAAATTAGAGAATAAACAGAACATTATTGACACTGTATTGTACAGCAGTGAGTGCACATGCAAGCGCTTAAACATGGCAAAAAGGGTGGCTGTGAGCTTTCCAATGAGGTGGATAACTTCCATAAATCATATTTCAAATCAAATTGTATGTGTCACATGCGGAATACAACAGATGTAGACCTTACAGTGAAATGCTTACTTACAAGCCCTTAACCAACAATGCAGTTTTAAGAAAAACAAGTGTTAAGTAAACAATAGATACGTAAAAAATGAAAGCTGTAAAATAACAGAACATCTACTGATGTTCTTGAGATAAAGTCAACTTGCCTTATCTAGATGTTACGTTTTGTACATAGCATTATAAGCTTTGAAGTGGGAGTGAAACAGGTATGTCGGGAGTTTCATTGTGTCAGCACAGCAAGCGCTGGAGAAAGTTTTGCTTGGGGCACCATCAACTATGAGAGGTCAAGCTTTCATGCTTTGACACATCATTAACCAGGAACTTGGTATCTCCATAGAGATAGACGGAAAGACCTCATAATCTGTCCCAGAGGTTGGTTGGCTGTTTCAGCACATGTAGAGGTGTCTATATTTGAAGAGCTATTGTTGTTTGACGGTAGGAGATCCTATAGGTTAGGGGGAAAACAAGAGAAGTTGAACTTTAGGCCAGGTAAAGTTATGTCCTGGGTCTGCATATAGAAGAAGAGCAGAAGCTGTGTTGCTGCCGGCCTGCCTGCTCCACTCTGAGAGGTCTGGTCATGCATAACTCACCCTGACCTTAAGGTCAGATCCATCCACTTCTCCTGACTTATGGCCACTTACCTGTCAAACAAACACCCAGTGGGCGACTCAATACTCAACAACACAGTTCAAGTTCACAGTATATTTTTATTCAATGGAAGTGTATGGTATCCTGCCCTCACTACAGGCATGACTCTGGGTAGATAGTGTTCAGCAGCTCATCTGGTTAATGCGGAAACAAAGAGCTATGTTCAAGGACACTCCTGGCCTTACCACGGTTCAGTTGTAGTTGCTAGGTGCTGTGTGCCTGGGCTTTGCGCAGCTAGGGAAGAGGCTGCTGGACAATGGGAGCATGTGTGAGTGTGTGGGGTCATATTAATCAGCACAAATCCAGGAGCATTGGTCACACAGTTAAGTAAAGGTAAAAAAACAATACAGCCGCTGCCTACAAATACCAGCACACAGATGGTGGAGGTGGTGCTGGTATGTGTGTGTCTCTCCTGGGAGCTAGGGGGCGGGGTGATTCAGAAACCTCATGAAATTATTGTTTGCCTAATTATATGACATGAAACATCTTGGTTATACTCACAAATCTTTTTATTCTTAAACACAGAGCATATGTGCCTCACTGTACATACAAAGACACACATAGTATACCCACAGCTACATGCAAAGCCCAAAGTGTGTGTCCTTCCTTCGGTTTCATCACAGCCAGACTGAGGCTGCGGTATCCTCATTACATGTGACCCTGTCTTTCTTTACCTCCAGGACAGGCTGTAGATTTTACAGTGACAACTCTATAACAAATTGCTTTACAGGAAGCAGGTGATGGGCCAGCAGCCCCCCACGGGCCCCCTGTCTAGAGCGCTCCAGCTGTGGACCTGGAGGGCTTAGCGCCGTGCCACCATGCCACCCGCCTCCTATTCTGGGCCAGGCTCATGGTCCAGGCTAATTTTGGACAGGGGACGGGGACAAGGGAAGGGAAGGGAAGAGACTGTGCCTGTGCCCGCCGGCCCCATCAGATGTCTGGCCTGGACTAGATGACGACATGGTTGAGCCAGCCACCATCGCGTGCCACTTCCTTTGGCCTGTTAATATATCTCCTCTTACAGTGCGAACAGTCACTCTGCATATTTTTGGTCTGTGGTTGGAGATCTGTAAATTCTCTTTGTAATTCAAGACAGCTAATGTGTTCACCTTGACCTCTCAGGCACCAATCTCCTTCATACCTTGACCGACATAATTACCGGTATGAATGAAGCATTCAATGAAAAGAACACTGTCTCTACAATCAGAGATGGGGGAGGATTGATAATGCTGTGGGGTTGCTTTGCTGCCCCTGGTACTGGGGACCTTGAACGTGTGCAAGACATCATGAAAACAGCAGATTATCAAAGCGTTTTGGAGTGCAATGTTCAACCCAGTGTCCAAAAACTGGGTCTCCATGAAGGTTGTGGGTCTTCCAGCAGGACAACAACCCCAAACACACGTCATAAAGCACCCAGAACACACACAAAAATGAAGAGATGCTGGACTGTTCTGGAGTGGTCAGCGAAGAGTACATATCTGAATCACATCCATAACCTATGACGAGATCTGTAAACAGCAGTTGGTGGAGGGCACCCCTCAAATATTAAAGAATTAGAGTGGGCCAAATTGTCAGTAGAAAGGTGCAGCAAGCTCATTGATGGCTGCAAGAAGCGTTTGTCTGCAGTTATCTTGGCCAAAGGCTGTGCAAGCAACTACTAGCTCTGGGGTGCCAATAATATTGTCCATGTCATTTGTCTTTATTTTCTGTGTTTACCGAGAGAGCTTTGCTGGAGGCCAGACATGTCTGTGTTGGCCTCACAACGCATCCCTGCTGTCCCACAAAGGAATGTTAATGAGGTGAGTTGAGCAGTGGAGGTGACTCGCTCTGTTCCTTTGCAGGCAGGCAGCAGCCGGCCCGCTGGCCGGTCAGTCGGTCAGCGTGTGCTGATCTGCTCTACACTCCATATCGTACGTTCACTCTGAAATGATCTGGTTTTGGCTTTAGATACCGGGCTAAAGTAAGTAACATGTTGGGCCATGTAGGAGATATGTGAGCATACCATGTAGATAAATATGAGCAACAGAGTGCTGAGCTTAATGGACTGACTTTGGATCAGACAGCAATTGCATAGATGTACTGTACTGTTACATTTTGTACCACAGACTGTATGAAACAAGTTGAAAATGATCCCAAAAAAATTTGCCCACTATTTTCATTGCAATTTTATAACATGTAGTGGCTGCCTTTGTGCTTCTCCAGATTGAATCAACACCCAACAGACGTACACACACCACAAGAATACCACATGCATGTTTTGGGTTGTAGCAACAGCACAACTGTTAATGAGGTGCAGAATAATGCACATGATTTCACATGCGATTTGTGCAACAATTTCCTAACTCCACATTCCTAATCAGCCACTGCTTGCTGTGCTGTGCTGAAGTGACTGGGTAGGAGTTGAGGTTTCCTCTCCTCTCCCCTCTCCAAGCCCCAGCGGCCCATGTATCCCAGGCCACACGCACACACACACTCACACACACACACACAGCAGGCCATGACCAACGCATAGAGAATGGAATTTGGATCAGTTCCTCAGTGGTTCAAGTGTGACCTTCAATACCATAATATTAAACCCGACTTCTTCATGTGCATGTTACTGTTTCATGTTATTATATAGAACTAATGCAAGAATGTAAGTTACATTTGCAACAGCTAATGGGGATCCAAATAAAATACCCCCCCCCCAAAAAAAAAATATAATAATAATATATTATACTGAGTATGAATGAAAAGCACCACTCTTTCAAAAGGAAAATATGCAGGTATTTCTTTTATTAAATCATGTATCAAAGTGGAAGAGTTATGTGTTTGATCCTATTGATTCATACTTAGCAAGAGTGCCTTATTCATGGGAAGTGAGAAGTGTGTGTGGTGTGGTAATTACAACTGTACCACTTCCTCCAATCCTTTTCTGTTGGCTGTGATTAGAGCGAGCTCCATTCATTGTGTATGTAGTATGGGTGTGGGTACACAGTGATTTGACAGTGTTACCTGCTGGCTGGGAGCTCTATAGCAGACATGAGAGACAGTGAGAGAATACCTTCGACTGCTAGGTAATGAGACAGTGACACCTGGTGGATAGATCCACAAGCAGTGGGATTCAAAACATAGACCAGAAGAAATCAATAGACAACAAGTAAAAACAGAAAAGCATGGTTGATTTTTAAATGTGTATTGAAAACTACCGGATCACAGTAATTGATCAATAGATATACATGTATGACTAGATGCAGTGAGGTTGAGGAAGTGAGAGGACTCTTTTTATATCTATCATGGATAATGCTGTAACAAATCATATGATAAGCAAGATATTAAATAATTACAAATAAACATTCAATCATATGCATGGAAGTCTAAAAGGTTTTGCAATGCAATACAATACATAATAATCGGACTACTGTAAAATATGATTTTGGGAGCACCAAAAACAGCGTGCACAGCCTTTTCTCTTTTCCCTGTCTGACACAGTACTCATTTCTTCTGCCGTTTCTCATCTTCAATGAAATGAACAACCAATGCAAGCAGAACTCATTACGTGATAATAATACAATATATTACCATACATTTTTATGATATATAATACTTTATGATATTTCCCCCCACAACTACCCCCTCATCATTGCCAAAACAGCTATGGGGTAAATAACACAAGCGATAGTACAGTAAATTCTTTATAATACTATAACTACAATACTTGATTGTCTTACTAAACAATGGGATAATCTCAATTGCATACTCCTTGCATCCACTCTCTTCGCCTCCTTCTCAAAACCCATTGGATGAGAAAGCCAGAGGTCCCTCTGCTTTGACCTTCGTCTCCAATGGGTTTTGAGAAGGAGGCGAGGAGAGAGGATGCAAGGAGTATGCAATTGAGATTCTCCCCGTTCAGCAGCGCTGATTACTAGTCCTGATAGCCAAGTGACATACTAAGGCAATATTTAACGTACCGTATAAAAACCGAATTAAATATTTATATTTGCAGTATAATAGCTATATGACAAACCAATATGCGGGTGTAAAAATATATATATTGTGCTCTGACCGTGTAAAAATATACATTCTAAATGTTTGACCAGACAATTGGTATGAGAGCAAATATTCGCTACACATAATACATAATAGTATTAATAATACTGCATATACACAGAATACTGCATATACACAGAATACTGTATATACACATAATACTGCCAACTTATTAAGCCTTGAAGATATGGAATTGTAAAATCCTGTGCCATTTTAGGAAATATAATCATTATAATAATGTGTTTGTAAGCAGCCTAGTTTCAGTATTAAACTCTTCAGTTCAAGATAAGCACTCTTATTTTGTTCAGTTTTCCAGAACAACAAAGTAGGTTAAATCCAAATCTTGATTTAGAGATATGCTTATTTCCTAACTCAAATTCAGAAGCTGTTTTATAAGTAGTGCATAGAGAGACATTTGATTGTCCCATGACATTGCATGCTCTTCTTAGCAAACCTTTGAAAAGTACCCAGCAACTGACATGTATGTTGGCACATTTCTCACCATTTTACTGCTTCTTCTTCTTAAATTATTAACAACTCAGCAAACCAAAAATGGATAAATCCAAACACATCTATAGTGCTATAATAAAAATGAAGCAGAATGCATGTAAAATAAATACAGTTAACTTGACAGTGTTTTGGAGCGTGCCTTAGCATACAAACGTGTGAGCAGTATAAAAGAACACAGCACTAGTAGCACCCAGTAGCAGGCTAGGCTAGCTGATGGAGGAAACCACCATGTCCAGCTCTTTAACATTCTCCTTGCTGCTGGTGAGACCACAGCTTCCTGACAGCTCAGGAAAGTGTCTGGCTCTGGTACCATGGACGGGTGGCGCTGGAGACTGGGCCAGGCCAGGCTTCTTAGGGGGAATGGGGGGCGGGTTGCCCCTGTCTGCTCGGGGGATGGTGGGGGAGCGGACCCCTAGGGGCAGAGCACCAGAGGCCCTGGGGATGACAGGGGAGGATGGGGTCAGGGCCAGGTTACGGTAGTCAGTGCCGAAGGGAGAGTTGTTAGGTGGCGGAGGTTTGGCCCCCTGCTGGACTGTGAAGCGGGACAGGACCTGGGTGACTGTGCTGCGGGCCAGCTGCTTGGCTGGCCTGGGGACAGAGACGGGGACGGGCTCAGGGGATGGGGACAGGTCTCTGGGTGACTGGGGCAGGCTGCCACCCCCGTCTTCCATCCTGCTGTTGCTGCTCTGCTTCAGTGTGGCCCTGGAACTTGTGGCGAGCAGCGTGGAAGCGCTGGTTGATGCCTGCCTGGTAGGAGGACTGGTAGCTGGGGCTGGTGGCCAGGGCCAGCCGTTTGGCCAGCTGAGGAGAGGAGCAGGGGGAGGAGGTGAGGGAGGAGGACCCCTGTGCTGCAGGGGGACAGGCTCTGGTTCAGGAGGGCAGGGGATAGCAGGACAGGGCTGCTGTTCTCACTCCAGTTGTCCAGGCCCAGTCTGTCTGGAAGGGCGTCCTCCCTGAGGAAGTCGTGCCTGTTGACTTTAGGCTCCTTACCCCCCTCTACCTGGCTGGAGTGTGGTGGTGGTCGTAGTAGTGGTGACCCTCCACTGGTGTCCACAGGAGAGTCTCTCCTCTCTTCCTCCTCCTCAGGTCCCCTCTCTCCCTGCAGCTCTCTCCTCAGCGCCTCCACCTGCTCCTGCAGCAGGCAGCACTGGGCCTCCTCCCTCTTGAGCCGAGAGCGGAGCTGCTCCTTCTCCGTGTCGAACTCAGCCAGCCGCTCCTCCACCCTGGCCTCCATCTGCAAGGCCCTCCTCCTCTCCTCCTGCAGCTCGGCCCTCAGGGCCAGGATCTCCCCCTGCTCCTTCTCCAGCCTCCGGCCTGCCTCAGCCAGGCGGTGGCCCTCCTCCAGGGCCCGCTGACTGGCCCACTTGCACTCCTTGGCCAGGGCAGAGGAAAGCTGCTTGTGCTGCAACCGCTCCTCCTCCAGCTGCACCAGGACCTTCTTCTGTTCCTTCTCCAGACGACGCACCTGGCCCCGCTCAAACTCCAGCTAAAGGCAGAATAGAGTACAATAGGTTACATTTTAAAAATGGAATCCTATAGCAGTTATCACTCAGATATTGATGTTATCTCTACCTGTTGCAAGAGGCGTTCCCTCTCCTTTTCTAGGATGCAAGTGACATCATCGCCCTCGGCGGTGTCCTCTGCATGCCTTCTACTCGCCTCCTCCAGATCTGCAATGACCTGACACAACCACAGGGGGGAGACAGAGACACAGAAATGATACATTCCCAGGTCAGGATAATCTGCTAACTAAATGCAATTTCCCTGGTGGAAAACAACCCCTCCTGATTAGTTATGCTTCGGTTGTCAGCTAGTTTTGTTTATCTTTAATCTAATCAAAAGTGGAGGGGTTGGCATTTAAGCCCCAGCCACAACACCCAGCCCTACCCTCCTGTGCCTGCTCTCGGCTGCAGCTAGCTGGGCGAGCATCTTCTCCTGCATCCTCCTGCAGTGGGTGACCACCTGCTTGAGCACAGCCAGGGGGCTAGAGCAGGCTGCAGCCTGGTGGACCCCAGGGCTCTGCCCCCCCAAGGCCTCACCGTCCCTCTGCAGAGCCAGGAACGGGTCACTCAGGTTGTACTTCCCATAGCGCTTCTCCACATATGTGTCTCTGCACTGGGCCTGAGGGAGGAGAGGAGACGAGGGTTGAGAAACACTGGGGTAGAGTACTGTATGTATGTCAAAACGGGTTATATTGTGTATAATGGTTATTGTTATTGTTCAATCAGCTCTTACTGTAACAGTAATTTAAGTTTCTACCTGAATAAACATACTCTGTCCCTGAGATATATTAGTTTTGTAAGTATATAAGAAAGTCAAATATGATAATCAGACAGCCACTAGTACTATGCAGCTACATGTACAATAAACAATACACTATGCACAAGTCTAACCTGGCTCCCCAGCGACTTCCAAAACCCATAATCTGTTTCTTTTCAGTTTCTGCATGCTGCTCTTTCCCTTCCTTCAGGCCTGCTGCAATAATCTTCCCTCCACTGCCTGCTAAACAGGAAGTCAGCCACAGCGGCAAACGTAACATGCCAAGAGAAACATCAACCATATTTTCTATGGGTGTGGGGATTCCCATCCCTACCAGGAAGATAGAGATAGGGAGAGAGCAGGAGAGAGAGAAAGAGAGGGTGAGAGGGAAAGAGGTAGAGCAGGCAGAAGAGGAAGAAGTAGAGAGAGAGAGAGAGGGGGGGGAGAAGAGAGCGAGGGAGCAGGCAGAAGAGGAAGAAGTAGAGAGAGAGAGAGAGAGAGAGAGGGGGGAGAAGAGAGCGAGGGAGCAGGCAGAAGAGGAAAGTGTGCTAGAGAAAGAGGAAGACGCAACAGATGTTGTCTGTCTTCAGTCAGCGCATTTGTACGGTGGCTGCTCCTGCTGGGGTCTGGGCCAGGGCTGACTAGACCTTTACTCTACCAGTGCATGGGCAACAATGGCGACTTCAGCAACTTGCCTCTGAGCTGCAGTGAACCTGGCTGAAGGAGTCAATGTGGTGGTTGTACGGAAACAAGGCACAGGTCTAAGGGATGGCCATTCTTATCCACTGAGGGTCAGTTGTTGCCTCTGGGTGCAAGCTTTTGCCTAGCAGAAACACACCTGATTCAACTATTTAAAAACTCTTGAAATCGAGACTATGATTAGTTGATTAAATTAGAGTTTATTAGTCACATGCACAGGGTCGCATATGTAATTGCAGGGTACAGTGAAATTCTTAAGCGCCGTGCTCCAACAGTGCAGGTCAAAGGGAAGTGAGTGAAACAATACAAATAATTACAATTTTAAAAAATAACAATAAATACATATTTACAACTGTAACACTGATAAATGTCCAGTGGGGTGGGGCAGGGTAAATGTCTGTTGAGGGGGTGGGGAGCAGGTAGTAGGTAGCTGCCTAGTGGTGGCTATTCAGCAGCCTGATGGTCTGGGGGTAGAAGCTATTAGCCAAACTGTCAGTTTTTGCCATGATGATACTACACTGCCCGCGTCTGTGATGGAAGCGGGGAGAACAGGCCGCGGCACGGATGGCCCCTGATGATCTTCTTGGCCTTCCTGCGACACCTGGTGTTGTACAGTCGTGGTCAAAAGTTTTGAGAACGACACAAGTATTGGTCTTCACAAAGTTCGCTGCTTCAGTGTTATGAGATATTTTTGTCAGATGTTACTATGGTATACTGAAGTATAATTACAAGCATTCCATAAGTGTCAAAGGCTTTTATTGACAATTACATTAAGTTTATGCAAAGAGTCAATATTTGCAGTGTTGACCCTTCTTTTTCAAGACCTCTGCAATCCGCCCTGGCATGCTGTCAATTAACTTCTGGGCCACATCCTGACTGATGGCAGCCCATTCTTGCATAATCAATGCTTGGAGTTAGTCAGAATTTGTGGGGTTTTGTTTGTCCACCCGCCTCTTGAGGATTGACTACAAGTTCTCAATGGGATTAAGGTCTGGGGAGTTTCCTGGCCATGGACCCAAAATGTCGATGTTCTGTTCCCCGAGCCACTTAGTTATCCCTTTTGCCTTATGGCAAGGTGCTCCATCATGCTGGAAAAGGCATTGGTCGTCACCAAACTGTTCTTGGATGGTTGGGAGAAGTTGCTCTCTGAGGATGTGTTGGTACCATTCTTTATTCATGGCTGTGTTCTTAGGCAAAAATGTGAGTGAGCCCACTCCCTTGGCTGAGAAGCAACCCCACACATGAATGGTCTTAGGATGCTTTACTGTTGGCATGACACAGGACTGATGGTAGCGCTCACCTTGTCTTCTCCGGACAAGGTGTTTTCCGGATGCCCCAAACAATCGGAAAGGGGATTCATCAGAGAAAATTACTTTACCCCAGTCCTCAGCAGTTCAATCCCTGTACCTTTTGCAGAATATCAGTCTGTCCCTGATATTTTTCCTGGAGAGAAGTGGCTTCTTTGCTGCCCTTCTTGACACCAGGCCATCCTCCAAAAGTCTTCACCTCACTGTGCGTGCAGATGCACTCACACCTGCCTGCTGCCATTCCTGAGCAAGCTCTGCACTGGTGGTGCCCCGATCCCACAGCTGAATCAACTTTAGGAGACGGTCCTGGCGCTTGCTGGACTTTCTTGGGCCTTCTTCACAACAATTCAACCTCTCTCCTTGAAGTTCTTGATGATCCGATAAATGGCTGATTTAGGTGCAATCTTACTAGCGGCAATATCCTTGCCTGTGAAGCCCTTTTTGTGCAAAGCAATGATGACGGCACATGTTTCCTTGCAGGTAACCATGGTTAACAGAGGAAGAAAAATGATTTCAAGCACCACCCTCCTTTTAAAGCTTCCAGTCTGTTTTTCTAACTCAATCAGCATGACAGAGTGATCTCCAGCCTTGTCCTCGTCAACACTCTCACCTGTGTTAACGAGAGAATCACTGACATGATGGCAGCTGGTCCTTTTGTGACATTCTGGAGTATATGCAAATTGCCATCATCAAAACTGAGGCAGCAGACTTTGTGAAAATTAGTATTTTTTTCATTCTCAAAACTTTTGACCACGACTGTAGGTGTCCTGGAGGGCAGGCACTGTACGCCCAATGTTGTGTTCGGCTGAGCAGTCGGCTAAGCTAGTAGAGTGTGCGCCCAATGGTGTGTCTCTGCTAGGCAGGAATAAAACATATGCCAATGTCATATATACAGTGGGGAAAAAAGTATTTAGTCAGCCACCAATTGTGCAAGTTCTCCCACTTAAAAAGATGACAGAGGCCTGTAATTTTCATCATAGGTACACGTCAACTATGACAGACAAAATGAGAAAAAAAAATCCAGAAAATCACAGTAGGATTTTTAATGAATTTATTTGCAAATTATGGTGGAAAATAAGTATTTGGTCAATAACAAAAGTTTCTCAATCCTTTGTTATATACCCTTTGTTGGCAATGACAGAGGTCAAACGTTTCCTGTAAGTCTTCCCAAGGTTTTCACACACTGTTGCTGGTATTTTGGCCCATTCCTCCATGCAGATCTCCTCTAGAGCAGTGATGTTTTGGGGCTGTCGCTGGGCAACACAGACTTTCAACTCCCTCCAAAGATTTTCTATGGGGTTGAGATCTGGAGACTGGCTAGGCCACTCCAGGACCTTGAAATGCTTCTTACGAAGCCACTCCTTCGTTGCCCGGGTGGTGTGTTTGGGATCATTGTCATGCTGAAAGACCCAGCCACGTTTCATCTTCAATGCCCTTGCTGATGGAAGGAGGTTTTCAATCAAAATCTCACGATACATGGCCCCATTCATTCTTTCCTTTACACGGATCAGTCGTCCTGGTCCCTTTGCAGAAAAACAGCCCCAAAGCATGATGTTTCCACCCCCATGCTTCACAGTAGGTATGGTGTTCTTTGGATGCAACTCAGCATTCTTTGTCCTCCAAACACGACGAGTTGAGTTTTTACCAAAACATTCTATTTTGGTTTCATCTGACAATATGACATTCTCCCAATCCTCTTCTGGATCATCCAAATGCACTCTAGCAAACTTCAGACGGGCCTGGACATGTACTGGCTTAAGCAGGGGGACACGTCTGGCACTGCAGGATTTGAGTCCCTGGCGGCGTAGTGTGTTACTGATGGTAGGCTTTGTTACTTTGGTCCCAGCTCTCTGCAGGTCATTCACTAGGTCCCCCCGTGTGGTTCTGGGATTTTTGCTCACCGTTCTTGTGATCATTTTGACCCCACGGGGTGAGATCTTGCGTGGAGCCCCAGATCGAGGGAGATTATCAGTGCTCTTGTATGTCTTCCATTTCCTAATAATTGCTCCCACAGTTGATTTCTTCAAACCAAGCTGCTTACCTATTGCAGATTCAGTCTTCCCAGCCTGGTGCAGGTCTACAATTTTGTTTCTGGTGTCCTTTGACAGCTCTTTGGTCTTGGCCATAGTGGAGTTTGGAGTGTGACTGTTTGAGGTTGTGGACAGGTGTCTTTTATACTGATAACAAGTTCAAACAGGTGCCATTAATACAGGTAACGAGTGGAGGACAGAGGAGCCTCTTAAAGAAGAAGTTACAGGTCTGTGAGAGCCAGAAATCTTGCTTGTTTGTAGGTGACCAAATACTTATTTTCCACCATAATTTGCAATATAAATTCATTAAAAATCCTACAATGTGATTTTCTGGATTTTTTCTTCTTCTCAATTTGTCTGTCATATTTGACGTGTACCTATGATGAAAATTACAGGCCTCTCTCATCTTTTTATGTGGGAGAACTTGCACAATTGGTGGCTGACTAAATACTTTTTTTCCCCACTGTACAGTGGCTTGCGAAAGTATTCACCCCCCCTTGACATTTTTCCTATTTTGTTGCCTTACAACCGGGAATTAAAATAGATTTTTGGGGGGTTTGCTTCATTTGATGTACACAACATGCCTACCACTTTGAAGATGCAAAATATTTTTGCTTGTGAAACAAACAAGAAATAACAAAAAAAAAAACTGAACACTTGAGTGTGCATAACCCCATCCCCCCCCCCCCCCCCGCTGTATTTAGCGCCATCCATCATTCCTTCAATTCTGACCAGTTTCCCAGTCCTTGCCGATGAAAAACATGCCCACAGCATGATGCTGCCACCACCATGCTTCACTGTGGGGATGGTGTTCTCGGGATGATAAGAGGTGTTGGGTTTGCGCCAGACATAGCGATTTCCTTGACGGCCAAAAATCTCAATTTTAGTCTCATTTGACCACATGCCTTTTGGCGAACACCAAACGTGTTTGCTTATTTCTTTCTTTAAGCAATGGCTTTTTCTGGCCACTCTTCCGGAAAGCCCAGCTCTGTGGAGTGTATGGCTTAAAGTGGTCCTATGGACAGATACTCCAATCTCCGCTATGGAGCTTTGCAGCTCCTTCAGTGTTATCTTTGGTCTCTTTGTTGCCTCTCTGATTAATGCCCTCCTTGCCTGGTCCGTGAGTTTTTGGTGGGCGGCCCTCTCTTGGCAGGTTTGTTGTGGTGCCATATTCTTTCCATTTTTTAATAATGGATTTAATGGTGCTTTGTGGGATGTTCAAAGTTTCCGATATTTTTTTATAACCCAACCCTGATCTGTACTTCTCCTTGGTCTTCACGGTGCTGCTTGCTTGGTGGTGCCCCTTGCTTAGTGGTGTTGCAGACTCTGGGGCCTTTCAGAACAGGTGTATATATACTGAGATCATGTGACAGATCATGTGACACTTAGATTGCTCACAGGTGGACTTTATTTAACTAATTATGTGATTTCTGAAGGTAATTGGTTGCACCAGATCTTATTTAGGGGCTTCATAGCAGAGGGGGTGAATGCATATGCACACACCCCTTTTCCGTTATTTATTTAAAAACAAATTTTTTTAACAAGTTATTTTTTTCATTTCACTTCACCAATTTTGACTATTTTGTGTATGTCCATTACATGAAATCCAAATAAAAATCAATTTAAATTACAGGTTGTAATGCTACAAAATAAGAAAAACGGCAAGGGGGAAGAATACTTTTGCAAGGCACTGTAATATCTATCCATCGGTAAAGATATCAGGATACAGAGGCTGTGAAGTCTTGTTCATGCTGTTATTTGATCTGGTCCGTTGGGATATGAGAGGGCAGATCAAAAAGGATGGAAAATAAGGACCTGCAAGACTTGAAACATTTCTCTGAAACACACAGTGGGCACAGTCTGGTGCATGACAGCTAGTCATTAGCCATTACCCAATACCCTGGTCCTGTATCTGACCTGTATGACCCAGGAGAGAGAGGGAACATTCCTCAGCCTCACACATCATAACACAACTGTCCAGTGCAATGGTCCCCACACCAAGCACCAAGCCTGGTCCCAGATCTGTATGTACTGTAGCTTACTCCTCTCTCACTATGTTATAGCCTGGTCCCAGATCTGTTTGTGCTACAGCCAAGTCCTCTGACAATCGTTGTCATCCATCCAGGCCTCTCACTCAACAGTGACTGCTGTGACACATGTCACCTCCAATAGAGTAAACACAAGGAAATTAAGATGACGGTGCGTCCCCCGCAGAACACAAACACACACGTACGCACGCACGCACACACGCACACACGCACACACACACACACACAGTCTTGTACAGCTAACCTTGTGGGGACACACAATTCAGTCCCATTAAAAATCCTATTTTCCCTTACCCCTAAGCCTAAACCTAACCCTAACCCGTACTCTTACCCTTGCCCTAACCTTAACCCTAACCTTAACCCTAAACCTAACCCTAGCTCCTAACCCTAACCCTTAACCCATACGTAAACATTTATGCACACATGACTGTAAGTCGCTTTGGATAAAAGTGTCTGCTAAATGGCATATTATATTATTATTAACGTAATTCTAACCTTAACCCTAAACCCCCTAGAAATAGCATTTGACCTCATGGGGACTAACAAAATGTCCCCAGTTGGTCCAATTTATGTTTGTTTACTATTCTTCTGATCCCCACAAGAATAGTTAAACATGTCCACACACACACACACACACACACACACACACACACACACACACACACTGCAGCACAAAGGGAGGCTGTTTGGTGTTCCAGTGGTGCTTTCGAGAAGGGGGGAGTGTGAGGAGGAGGACTGACATGAAACACATTCCTGACGTTGCTAATGTTTAACAGCCAGGTCAACCAAAGCTTATTCACTCATTCCTGCGCTAATGTGGCATTGCTAGCAGGCACGAAACGGTCCCAATTCTAACATTTTGTACTTCCTTTTTTTCCCACACTAGTGTGTGCCAAATATGGGCATCGCTAGGCTCCAACTTTCTGCAGCATGCCACAGCATAAGGAGAAGCAGGTAAAATGAGCTATGGATGGATACTGGTAAACAGTGAGAATAGCTTTAGACATTATCATAAAACATTGTAGAAACAGAACACAGAAATATCTGTCATATTAACCCAACTTGATTTCCCAGCATACCATGCCATTATAAGAAATGAGTAAAAAAAAAAAGGTAATATAACAAATGTAAACCTTTAGACTCATTGGAAATAGGAATCACCATGTGACTGACAGTGAAACACATACAATACCACGTCAATGGCAGCTTGTGGCTGCTCTGTTGAACCACATACTGAATAGTTCTCATAAAAATACTGTGGTGATTCAAAATTAGCAAGAGACTGAGTGCCTTGAGCTATAAGAATTGTTCACATGATCTGTTGCTCCAAATATTGGTGAGTTCATATGCTACCTAACACACGGTTCTTTGTTTTGTAGCGGGAAATGAAAACATACACCTACTGAAAACCAAAAGAAGAAAAGTTGTTATTCTAGTCCTCAGCCTTTCTCAATTTGAGTAACTATCCATTGTTGTAATGTTGTTCACTTTTCTTTCATGTGAGTGCAAGAAGAGATTCCATATTCCAGTGTACACTGTTTTGAGGTAATCTCAGAACCATTGCTGGCCACAAGAGACTACTGCTTAGGCAACCAAGGAATGAGTTTACAGATCAGGGTGATTTAGTGTCAGTGAAGCCACACAGTCAGCCACACATCCCCACGGCTCCAGTTAAGGCCTTTGTTTATTTGTTCACTCCAAGTCTCACTGCACACATAGTCATCTTCCACCCACCCAGCCCGGTGCATTCAATTGCCTTGCCTTAGATGGGCAGTGCCCAGGAGATGTGTAGATTATGGTCTAGACACAACACATGAATGTTCTAGGGGACCTTGATTTCTGCAGTTTGTTCACCTAGATATAGTTTGTTGTATTACTCAGGTTACTTTGAATTGTACTTGGTACTAATCAGCAGTCACGGTGATCAATAAAAACTCAACATGACTTGTCGAACATGCAACTAAATCAATACACGTTAGGATGAGCCTGCAGCAGTTATGGCAGATTTTAATTATGCTGCTGTTGTTCCGTTTTTTTGTTGTCTGCACACCACATTGTGTATGTGAATGTAATCTTCCTGAGTCTACCTTTAAAGGATGAATGGAAAATGTGGGTTATTAGCCAGAGACAATCCTCAGACTGCAGACAGATAGAGGGTTATCTTCCCACAGCCAGACAGCCTGACATCCCAGGTGCATTGACAGGATGAATTGGAATACGTGGCTGTATACTGTGGCTACTAAAGTAGAGCTTTTTCCCTGGTTGGCTAAAGGACATCCCATCAATTAAAGTCAGGTTAAATCATTGCACATCATCTCTTGCACATCTATCATTCCTGTGTTAATACTAAATTGTAATTATTTTGCACTATGGCCTATTTATTGCCTTACCTCCATAACTTGCTACATTTGCACACACTGTATATAATATCTTCTGTTGTATTTTTGACTTTATGTTTTGTTTACCCCATACGTAACTCTGTGTTGTTGTTTTTTATCGCACTGCTTTGCTTTATCTTGGCCAGGTCGCAGTTGTAAATGAGAACTTGTTTTCAACTGGTTTACCTGGTTAAATAAAGGTGAAATAAAATGTAAAATGTAAAATTAAAATGGGAGGTCAGGTAATGGGTAGTCTGTCTCGTCTCCAGCTGTCCCGTGTGTACAGTACAGTACTACTAGAAGCCTGGTAAGAGAGGCTATTAGGTAATGGCTAACTCTGCTCTCGAACAACAGTCCCAGTTTGTGGACCACTAACCTGGCTATCTTACATCTGCGATTCCTGTGAAGCATGAGCCGAAGGCGGTGGAGCGGAGAGTTAGGAGTCAGACAGGATGTTGACGGTTCACCTCATTGAGAGGATTTTATTTACAATATTTACAGGTGCAGTATGACTTGGCCAGTTTAAAAAAAGATAATCTTGAAGCTGACATAAATACTTCGATCAATCAAAGATATTCTCAGCAATAAAAAAAACTGTTCAGGCATTCAACTACTTTCAACTGCTACTTCAACTACTGCTATCTCCCCGGCAAAGGTCAAACTGAGAAAGTAGGCCTACTCTTTCCAGGAACCGTCCTTCGCTAGGAATGTTACAACATGATAGCTCAAAATACATTTCTACAATGAATGCATCATTTACCACCATAGACATATCATCATCTCATAAACAAACGTTTTACATGAACACACACCCATTAGCTTGTGTCATATCCGTGCATGGTGTCCTAGGTGGGTACAATGCAGAGCCCTGAAAATATTCAGCTTACATTTTAAGGGGGGTACTTGTTTCTGAAAATACTGTTACTGAATGCATATCTATAATCCGTAACTCCTTATCCATCTGTCCGGATTTTATAATGCGTAGTAAGTGCCGGTTTGGAGGAAAGTTTAGTTTAGACGGTTTCTAGACAGATATCCACATATGTACAATCTGGATGGACAGACAAGGAGTTACTGATTATAGATATGCCTTCAGTAACAGGATTTTCGGAAACAACTACCCCCCTAAACATTTTTGCCAAATATTTTCCGGGCTCTGGATTGTAGCCATCTAGGACACCATGCGTGAATGCAAGGAATCCTATATAGGGCTAGTCAACAGGGAAACAGCGTGCGCTTCAAACAAACACGAGGTAGGTTCAATTTGACAAGAACTAATGAATCCACACTTGTATCATTATTCAAATAATATATTTCACATTGCTAAATTATGTACTTCAACGGGCAGCTTTATACAGGATAGAAATATGGTTACCGAGTTACTTTGTTTGATTAATGACGTGCCCAACAAACGACTTGACTGGGTTGGGGTCAATTCTAACATTTGAAAAATTAATTTGAATTGGCCACATACCACAGGAAGCAGAATTTGAATTTGAATTCAATGAAATTCTAATGGCTTATTTATCTCTATTGAAATGTTTATTTTGACATCATGTATGGTTACCAATACCATGTAGCATAAGGTTGAAACATTTTAAAACTCCTTTTCCCAAAAAAATTGTAAAAAAAGATTACAGTGGTCTGGAAATATTATAAGATCATGTTGTGGGTTGTCTATAATAATTCATAATTCCCTTAATGTTTTTAAATATCAGAATACATTTCCCAGAATGCATTACATCAAACACTGCAGTATTGAAGGGAACAATGTAACATTTCATGATAAAGAAAATTACTGTTTGAAATCTGAGTTGTAATCAAACTAATATTTGAAATGGTATGTGTATTCCTTGCATTAATAAGTGGCATATACTTTTGATAAAATATTTGTCAAATGAATGAGACTTTCATGTTTCATGTCTTAGTTGAATGGGTCTGAATTACTTTTTTTTTTTTACTTCTTCCTGTGGGGTGTGGCCAGTTCAAATTCAATTCAAATTAATTGTTTAAATTGAATTAAATTCTGAAATTCAAAATTGACCCCAACCATGGTAACAACTCCTCAGACATAATTATAAATCATAGTTGTATCTCTCATATTATAGGTAATGGTGGCATCATTGAGGGGCATTTGGGTCCTGCCTGGAAATTCCACAAGGGGAAAGACGATGGATAGCTCTTACCCTGAGGGTCTCGATGACCAGGTCGCGAGCCTCCAGCTCTCCCTCCAGGACACTGAAGAGCATCAGCAGCTCTGGCTTGCTCAGGCTCTCCATATTCATCTGGGACTCCTGTGGGCAGGGGACAGGAGCTGGATCATTACAAGAGGGCCAATTCATTTTCAATTCTAATGTTCACTATAAGTACATTGTGCAGGAAGTTTTGTCCTTTACTCATTGTTATAACATACCAACATATAAGTAATGTGAATAAGTTTTTTTTCCTTTGTGTATTTATACAGGATATTTGGTTATGATTGGCCTATACTGTACTTAGGTTAAAGCATCCTTGAGTCCTGTGGGTCATTGTGGACCTATGATTTTAAAGAAATGTTAACAGTGCAAAATTGAGCACAAATCTGGCAAAGGCTTGGATATTTAAGTGATAATGCCCTCGAAGCCGGTGTTTGGAGGATATATTGGCATGGGTGTTGTTAGGCCCAAGACGAAGTCGAGCCAATATATCCTCCAAACACCGGCTTCGAGGGCATTATCACTTTTATACAACGGGTTACCAACATATTAAAATAATGATTGACGTATTTTCATTAGAAACGTTATTTTGATTAATTTATTCATACTATTTAATCCTTCCACAAGATATAGTCCCGACACAAATCTAGGGTTGCTAGAGACCCAGTCGTTCAGTCTTTTTGTTCTGTATCTATGGACTCGACCCAGTCGTTCGTTCAAAATGTTCCATTGCCATACTGGCTGGCAACGTTCTTATCCCTTGCTTGCTAGCTAGCCAACTACGGCTAACTTACAGTCACGGCAAAAAGTGCAGCCATAATAACAGCAAAATAGCTGCATTTGCATTTGTTTAAGTTGTTTTCCAGTGAAATTTATTTGGATACATCCATAACAATGAGCTAATGAGGCGCGATTTCGCCTGGCATAGAAAATGTGCTCACTCATCAAGACACTGTTCAGAGGAGCTAGCCAACAACACAGCTACAGTAACACAATCACTTCAAACTGAAGCTGGAAAGACTGCAAATTAGCTGCAATTCATTTGACCTTTTTTCGGTTTACATTTTTTTGTATATATCCATAAAAATTATGCCGGATGATTCATGATTTCGAATGGCTGAAAAACGCTGCCTGCCTGCCTGTCTCGTCCCGAAACGTTCATTACTATGGGACAGCAGGAGATCGAATTTCAATATTGAAACAATGTTGCAAATGTCGGAGAGACAGACAGCAAGGTTTATACAAATCTCCCAGTTGAAAACAAAATGTCAGTCTAAAGGAAATGTGAGATAATGTCTAGATGCTTTTTATAGTGGCGATCAAGTTTATAAATTGCCTGGCTGGGCTGATGAGACAGTGGATTGTGCAGTCAGATGGAACAGAGTAAAAAGGCATTTTAACGTCATAGATTTAGCCGGTGGCAACTTGTGGAATAGACACCGGCTGGAATGCGGTTTTAACCAATCAGCCGTTGTATAACAGGCAAGCATTTTAATCCAATAATGTCACAATTTGCCACTAATAAAACACTAGATGCATTTACCAGGCCCTACTGGGTCTGGACCATCGTTAATAAAAGCTAAAAGCTTTGGTAAACTGAGAGAAAATCACTGCATTTTCCACTCACTCTCATAGTTCATTTGTCTTTGTGAGGAGCCTGTTTACATCATACATGTGAAGGCAAATAACTCACACACACACAGGCCAACATATGGTGAGCAGATAGAGGGGGGGAAAAACAGTCCCAATCTACATCCACATTATCACAAAGTTGTTGACAAGATATTAAGTAACTGACAATGAGCTGTTTGCCCTCATTCGTTCCCATTTGTTCATATCAAGACTCAACAAGTTGTGCTTTGCGATCCTCTCTCCCTCCAACTTTTGGTTGGGCCTCTTGAGAGTTTGTGGTTTTGTTAAAAGGCAGGGTAGAGAATGTTTAAGATCTGCTGTGGTGTCTTTGTATTCTTTACTTAGTGCAGCTGCCCTGGGTCTGTTGACAACTCTGTGGTATCCACACCTCAAACATACAACCACATTCTGACCAGCCAACACATGCAGACCAGGCTTTGGAATCAGTGTAGTTCATACAGTATCCCACTAAGTGATGGGGTCCTTAAAAGAGTAAAAAACACATGGTGTGCTCTTTGGGATATTATTAGTTGGTTGGAAAAAGACTGTCATATGTGACAAGATAATCAAGAGGGTGCTCTGTTGAACTTGGATGAACCAACACTCATAGGGCCAGGAGGGCTTCCTGACCAGGTGACCTGACCAGAAAAAAATAAAAATAAACCTGTGAGCATTATAGGCCATTAGCATCCCCATATCTGATTATCCATGGCCATAATAGAAGATCTGGGAAAAAATGAGAAAAAAGAAGAAACCCGCACACTGCTCTTGCTATTATCACTGCTCTTTATTAAGCTTTACGTATCGGCCTCAAGGCCTTCGTCAGAGCTCAAAAGCTATTTTTTCTCATCTTATTCAACTGTTACCATGCACCTGCAACAAAGATAGCTCAGATGTGCGAGTGCCTTTTGAATTTTGAATCATAATAGAAGACCTAAAACATCAGAGTAAATGTCTCTCTGTCTGATGTGCCTGCCTCAGCCCCTTGTCTTGGTTAGTTCCCCATCCACCCAGTACAGTCTGTGAGCCATGCTGCTTCAACCGCTAAGCATTCAGCAGGCCTTCTCCGATACGAGCTCTGTGGTCGCCCAGTAGAAGTTTCCATATCATGAAGTCATCAGGAGGGGCCAGCAGGAGCTCTGAGCGTTGCATAATGAGATGGGAGCTTTGATTGGAGCTGCTACTGTACAGCATCATGGGGGCTAAGCTCTCCCTGCATCTGTCAGATCAATAACAAGACACTTAAAAAATCTGAATGGATGTCTAGACTATGGGATATGAATCAATTAAATTCACTTTTCTGAGCTCTGGGACAATAGCAAAGGAGGCAGCAGCAGTAATAGAACAGAATAATTTTAGGAAGTAAAATATTTGCTTCCTCTAGTCTAAATCTATTATTGCACTAAAGTTATTCCACTAATACATTATGGTTCTTTCTGGCAGTTTCACCTCAGATCCGAGAACACACTGTAGTGTGTAGCAGATCTATGATCTTTAGATGTGTTCTTCAATCTCCAGTTCCTCATGGTTTGGTTTGTGGGCTGACCACATGGCTAGCATGCTAATTAAACTTCCCACTTCCTTCAGTCTGCTTTTACAGCCTCACTAATTTCACAGCCGCTTGTATGACTGAATATACACTCACTAGTAATGTCTTATTCAAATAGAAAGCATGGGTAATGTTACTGAAAGAGATGGCATGCATGGGAAATCCAAATATTCCCACACTCGTTCATTTCCGCTTCCTAAAGAAATGCCTGGGTCTATAATCCTTTTATCTTTGTTTGTTTTAAGCCTAGTCAGCCATTTGCCCCTTATAATGGTACGTTAACAAACTTCTAACTGAACCTCAGAGGCTCTCTCTCTCTCTCTCTGTGTCTCTTTCTCTCTATCTCGCTCTCTCTCTGTGTATTTCTCTGTCTCTGTCTCTCTCGCTCTCTCTGAGTTCAAGCTTATGCAGGTTGCCAGATTTGTCATGCATTTGTCAGTTTTCCTAACTTGAACCCAGCTAGCGCATATTGTTCTGAGAACCAGAGCATGGTTGTCCTATGGTTATTTTGCATACAACCATCCCACAACTTTCTGGAACTGTTTTTTTTAAAGGAACTTGACAATAAAACATTATTTTCTTGGTATTTTATTACTTTAACAGAACGTTTCCTAAAAGTTCAAACATGGTTACATTTAATTTCAATTTTGGTAATGTTCTAGGCATGTTCTCCAACTGGTTTGACATTGGGAATGTTCTCAAATAGTTCAGAGAAGGTTAAGAAACAATATTAATCAGTGGGAATTTCAATACCTCAGCATAACATTTCCTACAGGTTTCCTTGTGGTTCTATTTGAAGTCATGTTCTCAAATTGTTCCGAGAACAGTAGCCCTTTACACTCGTACCCATGTACGGTTTGAAAATGGCAGATTTGGGCACTAATAAGCGCTCTGGCTCTGCACTTCACAGCACTGTATGGGTTTTGACTGACAGAAGTTCTGAATTTGAGCACTGCGCGTAACATGAAGTTGCCCCCATCGCTCCCGGTAATTGGACAACTTCAGCAAATTTTCTGAGTGAGTGAAATGCTGTAAATTAAGATGACTTGTATTAAGATGTATTTTGAAAGATGAGATGTTGAGGATTATAATAAATACCGCTTTGATGTCATACAAGCAAGCCAAACACCCATGAGTCCAAATGTGCACTTCACATTTCCAAATCATACAACTCATGTCATATACTGTACAGTGTCAATGTTCATGATCACTATGCTTGATGTACAGTTACAAGGTGACATGGCGTCATACCCTAGGTTGTTCTGAACAGAATGAGCCTATGTTTGTTTATTTGTAAGAAAAATGTCACGGCACATGCACCTGAATGCACGTTCTATGCGCACCAAACTTACGATCTGTTTCTCTGAATTGCCTTGTGAAAGCCTAACACTGTAAGATCGTATTTTATAACTTAGCTAGTCATGTTGGCAATAGAACACGCTTTCAAATTATGCCCACCTGACGTAGATTGCGATTTATAATGGACCGGTTTTGGATTGCATAAACAACAATAATTGTGTGATGGCGGGAATGCAGGGTTGTGTTGCTCTAGTTCCTCAATGACACATATAGGAGAGCTCAAAAAAGTATTATGGTTGAAGACTCTTCTTTGAGTCAAATAAGTGCATTAAAATTGCTTAGGAACTGTGTGGCCACTGGGAGACACCAGTTAGTCCTCTCACTCAAACCCTTGTAATGTTTTGTCTTATGTTGCATCTACCCCACATTTTCCAGGAATAGACTTATCATGTTACTGAATCTATGTAGAGTATTTTCAGATTGTGTTATCAACAAATGCTGCGAAAAGTACAGTAAATGTAAAATGCGCATAAAATCAACAGTGTAATGTTTGGAGTCAGTCTTGTGTCAGGTGAACTGTTGTGCACTTACCTTTGGTCTAATAATTTTCCCATTATCTCCTAACTGTTTCCTTTCAATTGCTACCATGGTTATGCATATGCTTTTCATATTTCTTCTTTAAGAAACATTTCAATTCAGCCACAAGTGTAAAGTGTTAAAGGGAAACTTCGCCATTTTTCAACTTCATATTCATCATCTCCAGCAGGTGATGATATTAAAAGCAAATAGTTATAACATTTATTTAACAATCCCTTGAAAACGACACACAGTTGTCAATGGTTTTAGCTGAGCTGGGGTCTCCTTGCCTCCCCAGCAGCCAAATCAAACTTATTGTGACATTTTATGGAAAACGACCTATTGGCCACACCTGATCTTAATAAAACCTCCCAGGAAAACTTTCAAGGAACCAGAGTACAACGTTCTCAGAACCTCACTGCAACCTACAAATAAACATTCCCAGAACAGGCAAAATGTTCACTTCTGTTCTCAGAATATTTTTAAAACATTCCGTTTTACCGGTCGTGCTAGCTGGGGAAGTGACCAACATACTTCCCAGCTGTGGCTAAGCCAATCAGTAATGTCGATGAGTCATAGCACAGAAGTAGCAGATGCCTTTGGCCTGCTGCACAATGACTCACTAACTGACTGACTGACTCAGTCTCTGCAGGTCATAGCCCAAAGGCTGGCAGATTGCTATATTGAGTTCATTTTTACCTCCAAACGCATTGTATGTGGCCGGCAATACACTCGTATCCCTCGTGGACCGGTTCGTATCTAAAACATTATCCTCCATTCAGGCTGCAAATGCTTCGATTTCCTACTTAACTTTATTTAATGGCGAAAAGGTGTGGGAAAAAAGGGCAAAATATACATCCTCCCTTATGAAACACCATTTTCCACCACAATGCTAGAGTGGCTAAATACTAATCCCCAGTGTTGTTTACCCCTAGCTGAACGCAGGGCAGAACATCAGGAAGTAGCATTCCTAGGCATTAGCCACTCTATCATGTTGGTGGAAATTGGTGTTTCATATAGAAAGTACGCATAATTTGCCCGTTTTTTTCATGCTAATCACATTAGCGCACGTTAGCTCAACCGTCCCGTATATAGGACACCGATCCCGTAGAGGTTAACTCAATACCACTTTTTGTGTCAAGAGACTGGATCAGATCAAAGTAATAACTGACATTATTATTCCTTTTCAAAGTCAGCAGCATACTGTAGCTACCTACATTTGGGTTCTCATTCATGTCTGTGTGCAATAATTAGAATTTCAGTATCATGTCAGTGCTATTACAAACAAAAAATATATTTTGCAAAGCCATTATAATTCATTGATGTCCTCCTGGTTCATTTCCATGAAGTCTGATGTAATTTCGGACCTCACTATGCCAGCTTTAGGAAATACTAGCTAACCATCTCAATGATAAATCAGAATTAGTGGATAAGCTACTCATGTAGTCTTGTCTTTTTGTTGCAACAATGTTCCAATGTAAAACGCTATTGTGTGAGGTAACATTTTCTGACAGAGGTGGAAAATATAACACTAGACAATAAATAGACAATTTATAACATTTGTTCAGTCACATGATATAGCCTGGTTTCACATAACTAAATTAAGGACAGACTATCATTATAAGCATGTCTACCAAATCAGGATAAATAAAACAGAGAAACAAGCACAACGCATGAATAATATATATTTCTATAGTATTAGCCAATCTCTATCAGGACATTGAAGATCCTACAAAACCCCTCTACGTTTAGTTCAGTTAATGAGCAACAATGTTTCGTGTATGTTACACTTCTCAAAATGTTATTGTATAGGCTACTTCGGATAAACCATAGACATAAGGATAAACAATTGTATTACAACGACAGCTGTGCAGATTCGAGTGTCTGGCTATTCATAATTATATAAAAGTTTATCCTCGACAATTAACATACCTTCATATGTCTTTTCAATGCCTTTGTAAACTCCAACATCAACTTTACCAATTGTCAAAATTGTCTTGTCTTGCGTCTTCAGTTTCCTATACGGAAGAAATTAGTTCAAATGTGACATGTCCATCAGCCTATAGGCAAGGCCGAATTCAGAGTGTTGACCTATAAGATGTGTCTACCTCAGACGCAGGAGGCATTGAAAGGAGGCTGTTGCATGGGTTAGGATGGATTTCTTTGTTTAGAATTTTTCCCACAAGTCTTTGCCTCTTGATTTGTTAATTTCCTATACGTTACTTTATTTTGCCTTATCTCTTACAAACTGTGCTTCACTTGAAATGTTAATGTAACATTTTTGTTCTATGCTCAAGGTGGTTTAGTTTTCAAAGAGACGTTTTCACGTCGCATTGCAGCTCATACGATATGAGGAGCGCACGAAAAACATTGAAATCTTTAGGGTATGTTGTGATTTCTATCAGATAGCAAAAAAATGCGCCGTGATCATGGAACATTCATGTTTCTAGAGTAGCCTACGCTACTGTATCTGTAACTTTTACTCACTTCAAATAGGCTACCTTAATAATGACCACGTAATAACACTTTATTCTTCACTGTTCCAAATTATGCACTTTGGATAGGCTACTTTAATAATCACAGACATATGGAAATGTAAACAAATTAAAATCATCATCATGAGTTTTATAAAGTGATCTGATCAATGAAATTAAAGGTGGATGAGTCACATGAGTTTATATCTCATAGCTACCTGACTTTATAAACCAGTTGATCACATTCCTTTGTTTCCCAGACAAATTTAACATAAAAATCCCTGGGATTTTTTGCAGGA